ATCAGGGTCCTTTCAAAGGCCAGTCCCTCCACCTGATACACTTTTCCCAGGTATTTGTCCTTCATTTCCTTCAGGCCTTTCATCTAATGTTGTCTTCCCAAGCAGGCCAACCACGACCACCATGTATAAAACTGTGCTCCCATCCTCGCCCACCCACCCACAGCCCCACCACTCCTCACCCCTCTTAATCTGCTTTATTGTTCTCCATTGCACTCATTTCACCTTCTAATGTGATGTGCAATGCACTCATTTGTTTATCCTCTGTCTGCCCCATTAATGTAAATTCCAAGAAGGCAGGGCATTCTGGTTTGTTTTATTCACTGCAATTCATGCTCAATTAATATCTATGATTGAAATGAATAAAAGAAAGAAAATGACTTGGGTTCATCTTGTCATACACTTTTATTAGACTCAAAATATAAATAAAGAACCCCAGCCAACTGCAATTATAGTACAGTTTTGTAGGACGTAGATTTGTTCCTGGGAAAAGCTACAGGAAACTTTCAGAGGTCTTTAAAACGTTGGCCAAGAATGGGACAAAAAAGAGTATTCCGAGAAACATCAAGGACTGGCCAATTAGCTCAGCTGGTTAGAGTGCAATGTTGTAACACCAAGGTCCCCATACTGTCCAGCCACAAAACAAAACAAACAAAAAAAGGAAACATCAGATTCTACAGTGGATAGATAAGTGTAATTCCTACCTAATTTTGAACCTAATGCTAACTTTCATGCTTTAAAATATTTGGCTACGCTTCTGGATTTAATTTTGATCATTCTGGACAAAAAGAAACAAAGAATCATTTCACTCATATTTCCTTAGGCAAGTTTTACCTGCAAAGGACAGCTGGACATAGGGCAGCCAGTTCAGGAAGTATTTAGAGAACATAGGCTCTATGTTTAAAACAAAAACAAAAAGAAAAACTGAATGATGCAACAAGCAGAAAAAATAGATAATTGAGAAAGCTATGATCTCTGCCAACAATAAGTTAACAATCTAGCAGGTGTGAAAAACAGGACCACAGCTATCTACAATATGTAGCACTGGCATGGTCAATGGCAAAGACTAAGTAAAAAATCTTACACCAGTTCTCAGCTCTCACTGAGAAACCCTGTTTGGTTTACTGTTTTATTTCCAGACTAAGACTAGAGCTTGACACTTAGTATGCACTCCATAAACATCTGCTTAGTTTCTTTAAATGTAGGAAGTTCTGTAGGAAGTCATTCTCTCTCTTACAACACCATGAAGGTGCATTAAGGGAGTGCAGCTTCTATACATACAAATTGTTTACATTATATTAATTTAAGGTTGTTCAGTATTAGGGATCCTGTTAATTAAAGCAATCAAGCCATTAACAAAAACAAAAAATCAGCTGTTAACCTCTGCCTAGTGATCAAATTTCCACGACAAATCTGGGAATGTTCCTTCCAACGTGTTTTAGTGACATGCTTTCTGAACTGGGCATGAATCCAACACGAATCTCAGGTCATTAGCAGAACACCTGAAGACGCAGATAGTTCAGATGGTAGAGTACTAAATTCCTCAGGAAAAGCTACCACACAACAGTGATGATGCTTAAAGCAGGCCATGGCCTTTATACCTGCCACTCATATTTGCAATCCTGGTTTTACTAACCCTTTTAGAAATGACCTCAGACCTAATCCTGCAGCTTTGAGCCTATTTTAGGGGCAGTGACCAGGGTGGAATTAGAACCTATAAAGGGTCCTTCTATTGATGCCTTATAAAGAAATGTCTTCCAAGTTTTCAATCTTGACTCTACCCACAACTATCTCACATTTTTTCATCTTAAAATGTTGAGAGAGAGACGAGGGAAGATACAGAATCACAATAATAACCATGACACATTTTCAGCATCTATTTAAGACCTGGTCCCATTTTACCTGTCATTTGTCTTCAATTTAAACTGCTGAACTTCCCAGTGACCCGAGGTATGGAGCTGGGGACCGGACCCTCCTCCGACAACCAGGCACACCACACCAGCACCTTGGGGCCGCCCAGGGACCGGAGGCATGGAGAAGGGGACCGGACTGCCCTCCCTCAAGAAGGCACACCATGCCAGCACCTCAGGGCCCACCCAGGGACCTGGGGCATGGAGAAAGGGATCAGACCGCCATCCCACAACCAGGCCCACTGTGTCAGCACTTCAGGGCCTGCCTGGTGACCCGAGGCATGGAGAAGAGGATCGGACCCTCTTCCCACAACCAGGCACATGGAGCCAGTGCCTCGGGGCCCGCCCGGGAATCTGAGGCATGAAGAAGGGGACCAGACACACCCCACAACCAGGCACACTGCCAGCGCCAAGGAGCATGGCAAAAACATCACCTCTTTTTGGTGGCCCACCACAGCCACCACAATAACCATGGCTGCCGTGAAAGTGGCTAGATGCCACAACCACCACGCAGATGGTCCACCAACCAGTGGAGTGCATTGACACAAGGAGATTCACCAACTGAGACAAAGAAAAGAAGAGGATGTCTCTCTTCACAAAGCCCATTTCAGAGTGACAGAAGAAGCATCTGCTCTATGATAATATTAGGGGACCTGATCACACCTCTCAGCATTGGACATATCATCTAGCAACAAATCAACAAAGTAACCATTATTCTTTCGGCAGGAGAGAAGTAGTCTAGGGTAATTGGGGGGGAAAGGGGGATGAGGGAAGGGGAGGGATTGGACATGGGGCATAAAGAATAATTATGATTTGTAACAATATATATGCTAGTAATATTGATTTGATCAACATATCTCAATGTTTAACCCCCAAAATATGTATTATCGATTTTGATTCAATAAATTAAAAACAAACAAACAAACAAAAAACCACATATGCTGTAGTTTCCAGGAAATATGTCAACATATTAATAAAAGTTAACTTTGGATGGTGAAATAGTCAGGAAAAATAAATAAACAAATAAATAAATAATAAACTGCTAAACTTATTTAAACCTATTCACAATGTATAAGAAGCAAGTAGCCACTAATTCATTTTAAGAAATGCCCCTTCATCTAAAAAGCCTAAGATTTAAAAGGGCTAACCATGTTTATAGTCCATGAATTTCCAATTCATTAAGTTTTACTGCATAACTATTAAAATCAATAGAATACACTTCGAAGGTCAATAATTTAGAATACATATTAAATAGTCTTAGGAAGTCCCTTTATAATCACCTTTATTTTTCCTTGCTTTCTTAGAATGCTGTAAATATAACTAAAAATGATATATCTTAAAAGCAATAGAACTTGATTCTAAAATAACTTGCTTTGTTTTGGAAATATATATACATATATATTGCACATTAGCCTATGTAAAGCCCTCAATCAAGTAAGTCTGCAAAGTGGACATTCTATTGTGTGTGAGCAGACTCTACAAGATTAAGTGTCTGGTAAACAGATGACTAAATCATTGACAGGAAAAAAAAAGGAGAAGTCAGGGCACAAAATAGGAAATTTGACGTTCTAAGCAGACCACTCGTGAATAAAGGGAAATACCTGAAGAATTGGTCAGCATTTACTTAATAAACAATCAATGTGATATGCTTGCCTCAGGTGAGACAAAGGTGGATTTTGATCTGAAACTTGACATGTATCTCCAATTTCACAGAGCTGTATCACCAGTTGTTCTAGAATTTTTTCCCCCAAGTCTACCATTAGTAACCAGGTTGACCAGATTCCTACTAATTGGCCAGAAAAGCATACTTGAGGCCTGTTACTGTCTTGCCTTCAAAGCTTTGCAGTCATGTTCACATACAAAGGAACAGTAACGGTAAAACGACCCGGCCTGTCTCTCCTGTTGGTGACCACAAGGCAGCCTCTCTGTTTCAAGGATGTAACCTAAGCTTGCACAGATGGCCCAGCTCTCTGCTAATGCAGGGGAGCTGGGTTTGTTTTCAGGGTGGGTGCTGCAAAACGCCAGGTGTATTTATAGAAGGGAGCACGACTATGATGGAGGGATGATGACAGAAGAGGAGAAGTTTCTTCCGCCCGGTAGAGGCAGCTTGTGGAAAGATCTGGATTCCAGAGCCCAGGTTCCACTCCTGACTCTCCAATTGCCAGCTCTGTACATTTACTAAAACCCCTATTGGCGTGTTACCTCATGTATAAAATTTAGGCCATGCCCCTTGACTTGATGGTTGTCAGAATGACGAACGAACATCGCGTATGGAAAATCTGGGACGCGGTAGGCATTCAATACACGTCAGTCTGTCCTCCCCATCCTTCTGTTCACCCAGAATTGCACGTCAAAAATCACGAAGATAGCCTGCAGCGTTAAAACTAAGAGGCCCAAGCTAGTTGGCGTGGGGGAACGAGTTGGATGGAAGCTCACTTATTTTATTGGAGGAATTAGCTTAAAATGGAGTTAGGATATTCATAAGGAAGAGACACATGGAAAAAGCATCAAGGATAAGCAAAACCGGCAACAACAACAACAACAAAAAGACATCCTTTTATGTAAACACAGAACAAACTTCGGAAGCTGCGGATATCCTGTGAACCCACGCTGTGGCCTCAATTCAAATCACAAGAGCATGTAGAGCCATCCGTGAGACACACCATCCATACGCTGCCTCGTCAGTTGCAGACCACGCTATCCTGCAAAACTGTCCTCAAACCCGCCCCAGCTGGCTTTGCAAGCCAGGAGCGAGCAGCCAAAGGGATCGGGATGGGCAAAGTGGGAAGGTCCGGACAAATGTCTGAAAAACAAGGCGGTGGGTGAGGGGGCGGGGTGGAGCAGTGTGGCAGAGCCGCGGCCAGCGAGCCTGAAAGACGGCGGCTTCACAATGAGGGAAAGGAAGAGACTGCGACAAGCGCCTGCTCCCGGTCCCGGGCGGGGACTGATGGCGAAGCCGGGGGCGCGCAGAGCGTGGGAAGACGGGAAGGGGCGCGGGATGCAGCGAGGGAGACGCCGGCCGGGCAGGGAAGCTAAGGAACGCCCAAGCAGGTGCAGAGCGCCCGGGGGTAGGAACGGGCTCGGGATACTCACAGTGTAGAGCAGGTTGAGGGCGCACAGGCAGTTCTTGGAACACGCGAAGCCCCCGCAAACCATCTTGGAGCCTGTGGTTGCCGGCAGCTGCAGGTAAATTCGACTCCGGCGCAGCCTCCCGGCCAGCCGCTTTGTCCCTACCTTTGAGGTCCGACCGCGGCGGGACAGCGGTGGCGACGCCGCTGGAGGACCGGAGACAAGGGCTGCAGCGCGCGGCACGCCGGCCGCTGTTCCAACCCGCTCTGGAACCTGCGGCCGCCGCAGCTCCGGCCGGAGCCCGAGCCCCGCCCAGCCGCCGCCTCGCCCCTCGCGCTGATTGGCCGCCGACAGGGAACAAAGGTAGAAATATGCAAATAAATGCTCTCGGCCGCCGGGATCCGGCAGGGGCAGGGCGGTCCCCGGGCAAGAGGGCGGGGGCCTAGGGTGGTGGGGGAAGGAGCCGGAGGCCAGAGCTCGTGACAGCGGCCTCTGTGTCATTTCCCCTGGAGCAGGTGAGGGAGAAGAGGGCGGGGCCCCACGGAGATCCACGCTGGCGGACAGAAATATGACAGCACCTCTGGATTCCTGGCCCTGGCGGATGACGTGGCACCATCTTGAAGAAGATTTTAAAATTAAGCACCTGGCCTTGTTTGAAAGAAGAAAGGAAGTAATGAATGAAAGAATGTGAAAGGTTTAAGAGAGAGAATGAAGTGGGGGAAATGAAAGGAAGAAAATAAGAGAAAGAATAAAAGGAGAGAATAAAATCTCTGCTTCTCTCAGAAGATAGATGGGATAGGGGGCCTATAATTTTGACCAGTGTCAGATCAGGAAGACTTATTCTACACGGATTTGCAAAATACTAACCAACTTTACCAATACAGGCATGAGAAAGAAAATCAAGAGAGATTATTTTTGTGTGCCAGTCCTGAATTTCAATAAGCTTAAAACCTTTAAATAACACAGTCTTCACCTCGGTTAATTCATTATCACTTTATAACTTGTCTACTGGAGAAATGCATCTTGTATCCTCAATTTCTCACCTATAAATTCGGATATTGAAAGTATGTCAAGCACTTTTTTGCATAGTGCTTGGCACAGTGTATAAAAGCTCAATAAATGTCAGCTAGTATTAGTAGATCTAACACTTTTTAAACACCTACTGTGCTCCAGGCACTAGGCCAAGACAATAAAGATTTGGTTATTTCACGGTACCTTCTACTAAAAAAGGTTTTACAAAGAGATTTTCAAATTTACAATACTTATATGGAACCTGAAGGTTCATATTCACATAAAATATGTGATCGCAAATGTTAAATATGTGTTAAATAAAACATGGCAGCTGATTAAAATAATTTGAATTCTTAGAATCCTTTGCTCCTTCTTCCAGCCTTTCCTTACCTCCCGCAACCCCACCACACCAAGAAGGCTTCAGTGATTTGTTAGCTTTTGTATTCCACATTAACCTTTTATATATACCCAGAAATATTCCAAAAATTAATCTGGAAAATAACTCTCAAACCCAAACAATACTTTGATGCTCAGCTTTCCCTTTTAAAAGCCAGAGGTTTACTGAAGAAGAGGTGTTAGTGGGGAAATCTATTTATCCTCTTCCTGTTCCTGGATGTCACCAGCATTACTACTACTTCAACCATCACTCAACCAACTATGGCAACTCTCTCTTTGCTTCTTCACAGTATTCCTCATTATCTCCCTGTGGGTTGAATCACTTGTTTTTTTTTTTCTCAGAGAAGTACCAACTATCAGTCAGGGGCCCCAGGGGAGGAAATGGCTCATTTAAGTAGCATAATTGAGAAAAGCTTACTAAAGGGACTATTTTCAAAAGCATGGACAAGGTTAAAGGAAGCCAACAAAGAATGGTGAAGAAGGTCTGAGCTAGCAAGAGCAGGGAGTTATAATTATCTCTAAGTCTGAAGGGAGCAGTTACAGAAGCCAGGCAAGAGCTGGGTTGTCTGATGGGAGTTGTGGCCTTTGATAGAGGAAACAGAGGATGTATTAGTCCTTTTTGTGTTGCTATAACAAAATACATGGAACTGTGTAATTTATAAGAAAACAAAATTTATTGCTTACAGTTTCTGTGACTGGGAAGTCTAAAGGCCCTCTGGGGGTGGTGACAATGACCCAGGGGTCTCACATTGCAAGATGGTGGAAGCAGAGAGAACCGAGAGAGTGAGAGACAAAGACAGACTCCTCTTCTTTCAAAGCCCTCAGAACCACACCCCTGACCACCATTTTTAATCCATTCACTATTGCATGGTCCTACATCTAATCACCTCTTCAAGGCTCCACCTTTCAATTACGATAATAGGATTTCCCACCCTCTTAATAGTCACAGTGAGGGCTAAGATTCTAATATATAAAACTTGGGGGACACAATTCAAGCTTCAGTGAGTTTTGGTGGGGCATAAGTCAATCCATTACAGAGGGATTACTGCAAATAGGGAAAGAAAACATATGGACATGTTGAGATTTCTCCTTCTGATTTGGATATAGAAATTTTCAAAAGACCATTTGCTCTCAGTCTAATGACAATGAGCTAGATAAGCTACACAACTGTAATTTTAAAGAAACCTGTCAGAGAATGGGGGCACTAAAGACATCTAAAGGAACTAAAGTCTGGGAAGTAATAATACATTCTTAGGAAGAAAAAACCTACAGTTGCTTTCATCCCTTGTAGATCAGCTATAAACAGAAGACTGCCTTAGAAAGGGATAAGGAGAAACTAGCTAAACATTTAACCATCTTTTAATGACCATTAGTGGACTAGTGTGACAGTTTATAATACAAGGATTGACAGCCACACAGTGAGTTTACTACTACTTGCCAGCTCTAACCTGTGGGCCTTCACTTATAAGCCACAAAGTCTATGGTCAAGCAAGACTGCTGAGAGAGATTCTCCTTCCCCAATTATCTCAGGGTGAACAGAACTTCCCTGAGTATAAGACAGTGGCTAAAAGCTGTGGTCAGGGTAGGAAACATGAGAAAAATCCCTACAAAGCAATCTGGGTCTTTACCTAATCCAAAGTCGTAACTGCCAAAGACTAAGGAAGTAGCAGAAGGGAAAAATCTCTGTAAGAGCACTCCAATGGCTGGGACAGAACAGCAGGATAGGGAAAGATCTCACAAAGTACAGAAAGCCAAGGACATGACCAGAGAGCAAAGAATACTCCCCAGCAAACGAAAAGGTAATGGCCAGATTGGAAAGCACGGAGATCCCCCAGGATCAGAAAGCTGGTGGACTGGGCTACAAAAGCACAAAGAGATTTCTATGCAGCCCTCCTTCTTGTAGAAGGAAAGTCTTGATCATGCCTCAAAAATATCTGAAACCAATGATGAAACAAACCTACAAAGCCTGTAACAGATTCTGACTCAGTTGAACTGCAATTTAGATTGACTTAGGAATTAACACCAGCAGCCTGACAGAATAAGGTGTGTGCCACTTTCTGGGGGTAATTATTATTTACTTCAGTTTCAGATTTTCTTTTATACACACTAACACAATTAAAAATTATAAAAAACTTGGATGGTCAAGAAAATTTGACCTATGATCAAAAGAATAAATAGTCAATAGAAGAAGACCCAGGGGTGACCCAGATGTTAGAATTATCAGACAGGTCCTGAAAAGTAAACATGATAAGTGTGCTGAAGGATTTAGTGAAAAATATGCAGTAACATACGGGGAATTTCAGGATAAAGATCAAAATTATTAGAAAAAATGAAACTGAAATGAAAAATAGAGATTTTTTTTAAAATGTGATATCAGCAGACTAGACATAACAGAAGAAACAAGTGAACTTGAAGATAGTTCAAACACAAAGATAAAAGATTTTTTTTAAAAAAATGGATCAGAGCATCTGATATCTGTGGGACAAAGTCAAGCAGTGTGTATGATTGGAGTTCCAAAAAGAGAAGCAAAACAAAATGGGACAGAAGAGATGTGTAAAAATATAATGGTTAGGAATTTTCCAAAGTTGGTAATAGATGTCAACCACAGATACTAGAAGAGTCGCATCCACCATTCTGTATCTGTCAGAGCAATCACAAGCCTGCCCAGATTTAAGAAGAGAGGAACACAGACCACATCTCTTGAAGGGAGGGTTGCTAGGCCATATTGCAGAAGAGCGTATACATATATATATATAGGGTGGGAGATACTGTAGTTTATCTTCGGAAAATAAATTCTACCCCAGGTAACGTCTTTCTTTTTTTCATGTTATACCTTCATATTGCCCCTTTGATGACAAATCGTCCTTTTTAAGTAAGAAAAAGAATGAGATACTGAACTGCAATTCTTCTCAGAGAGTTTAAGCTAAGAGACTGTGTATTTTAAGTGGAAGAGGAAGTTTTATTTTTATACAGTAAACTTGTCTTTTTCCATAAAATCAATAGAATAAATAATTGAAATTTATTCTTTAAAATTGGGTATTCTAAATTGTTTTAATTTAGGATCTTTAAGCTGGAGAGCAGCCCACCAATGATTAGGAAAAACACAACATAGAGCTAAAGATTTTGTTACAGGCCCTGGGGGTGCATGGTACACCTGGAGGCCACACTCACGGAGGGCAGGGAGCACAGGCAGGGACAGAGAGAGAGGGACCCATGGATGCAGGGTGTTATCTACACAGGTTTCCTGTGGGGAGTTTCAATTAGGCGTTTAAAGCAACCGAGCATAAGTTCCAGGAGGTCACACTGTGACGAAGAGGTGGTCACTGGCATACCCGTACAGTCCACGCAGGGTGTGATGGTCAGAAGAACCGGTCAAGTAGACTGTCACCAGGAGGAAGTTGTATAACGCAGATATCTGAATCCACCACGTTGAGGTTCTGGGATGAGCTGTAGAGCTGGAAATTGTGACAAGAGTAATTGGCTCCTGTTTCTGGTATATGCCACCATGTATTCAAAATGAATGCTGAGGCAATGTAAAATTATAAGAATTCACTATATAAGCAAACTGTTGATAACAGTTTTTAAGTAGGAATAACAAAGAGAAAGTGAATATAACCAATCTTACCTGTACTTTTTTAGAGCCTGCCTAAATCTTTCGTATGAGATGAACTCCTGACAATTTAGGAGACTGCTATCCTCCTTCCTCCTCCCCCTTCTTCTCCCCACCCCCATCGTCTCCTCCTCCTCCTCCTTCATCTTCTCCTTCTTCCTCTTTTAATGTGTTTTTGAGCTAGGACAGAGAGAGAATTCTTGCCCAGTAGTCCAGATCTTCTGAGAAACAGATGCCAAGACTGGGTTCGATGTGCATGAAATTTGTTGGGAGAAATGTCCATGAGGGAAATAGG